ATTGCATGAGCGATTATGTGTCTTCAGGCGTCATTACTGCGTTACAGGGTTAGTGCGTGTACGATTCCAGAATGCGGGGTTTCTTGACTGGGGTGCGAGCTGTAGCTTTGCGTTGACATGCTGACTCGGATGCTCCAGGCTTTCAAGGCTTCGGTTCTAGAGTTTAGGGCTTCAGCGTCGTAGGGGTAAGGTTTGGGGGCTTAGGGCTTATGGCTTGGAGCCTGGAGCTTGGCAGCCTGCGACACTGCGAGCGGATGCATAGGTCCGCGAAAGCTCACGTCCTGGGCCGTGGCCCACGACGTACGAGTAGGAAGGCCCCATTGTGCGTTGTGTACGCTGTGAGCTGGCTGGCACGACAATCGTGGCTGGGACGGCCTTGGGCACATTGACTGCAACCGGCTTCGGTGCTTCGTTGGGGGCCAGCCAGCGCCGCCGCTGCGTCTCTTCGTTCTCCGGGTGCCAGAGGAGGTGTTCTTTGCCACCATCATAAAGCTCCGGACATAAGTCCAGCACCATGAGGCTGTGGAGTCTGAACGTCAATCACTACACCGTGAAGGTAAGGGCCCATTGCCGATTTTTAGCCAACTTCCGGACGAGAAGCCGTCATGAAGATCAATGCGAAATCTTTGCATCTAACAAACCTCGTTGATGCTTCTGGCTTCTGGTAAGAGCCGGATGCACCGGCACTGCAACCTGGTCCAGCGCTTTCGCTAACACTGCCAACGCTGGCCTTCTCAGCTTTCGCGACAACTTTGTCGTCAGTCCCTTCCTCCTGCGTTGCTGCTTGTCCAAGACTTAGGAACACGCAAAGCACGACTACTTACTGTGCTCCGGACTACTCGACTCATTCCGATGAGGGCGACATTGACCTGAATCCAGGTCCTGGCTCGCTTCCGCTTCTTCTGGCTCGAAGAGGTCCTCCTGTGAAGTTCATCACACACTCCTGCTATAACTCCCTTCCTCCAATCGCCCGCTCCTCATCATCTTCGACTTCTTCGTAGAGCAGCTCCGCCTCCTCATCCTCCGCCTTCCGTGGTCAGATACCATGACCAGAGGAGCCTAGAAGCCCCGTCTTCGCCTCCTCATCGCTTCGTCCGAACTTTGTTGCAAATGGAATTACGAACAGGACAACGAGCCTGGCAAAGTCACTTTGAGCCTTTCAGCTGGTCCACACGACATGACAATCTAAGCCGTGGACATGAGGACGGAAACTCCGAAAAATGTCGAATAAACCTGGCTTGCGCCCAAGCGCCACAGGACGCACGGCCTGCTAACGGGAAGGCTGCACACAGGCTCAGCTCTGCACATCGATGGGCTCACCCATGTTCTCGAAGGCGTCATAGGTTTTTATCTCAAAGGATGCTCCGAGTCTTCAGCACATGTGGTGGGAAGTACTGAGCGCACCCGAGGGTCTGGCTCGACGCGCTATGCGGAGCCTTCCACGTTTCCGAATTTCACATGCCAGAACAATCCCGCACGAAAGCTTAAATCTCGCACCTGCCCACGGCAGCCTGATCCGTCGAGCTTCCCAGCTGCCTTGCAAACGATCGCACTCAGTGCCCTTGATAGATGACGCCACTTTCAGACGGACGATGCAACGGCCAACAACTGAAACGTCAGGCGTTCCTAATTTCAGGCAAACGGCGCAGACGGCGCTCGTCCGCCCACGAAGCCAACTGAAAAACCTGATCCATTAGTACGTGCAAGCGTACACAGAAACAGCTGCAGGTCGCTGCTAGCCGTGCACTTCGATGTGTCGAGAAAGCTGACACCAACACCTGAGCCTCAGGCGTAGCGCCAAGTCCTCCAGCGTGTCAGCGCGCATCAGTCAAACGCCGCTTACGCTTGTCGATTGCAAGACACGATTTGTTCAAGCCCAGAATTAAACGCCTCAGAAGGCTTGCAGTACTGGACTCTCTCTCTGTGTCTCAAGTGGTCATACTAGGTCCCTGCACCTCCCAACAGTGACTTCACTGCGGCGGTCCCAGGCAGCACAAACGGCGACAAGAGCCAGACTTCGCAGGACCTTGGATTCACTGCTCCCGACAATGCAAAGACTTAAGCACCTACGGAAAGCTGGAGGAGGGGCAGAAAGTCCTGTTGCCAAAATGTCTCAAACAACATATCTGACAACGAGTAAGCGAGGACCAACAAGTCAAGAAACAAAGGAAAGCAGTCATGAATCTGTGCAAGGAAACACTGGCTGTTCTCAAGCATGGGTTCTTCCACATGAACATGATGTGCTAAGCACTCCAAGCGGATCCAAAGTCTGGCAGAGCTGTTCGAGCTCGTGCCATCCGGTTGCTTGCGGTGTTTTCAGGTCTCTGCCACACTTGGCTCTTCTTTGCACATGCTGCAAGTATGTTTTACCCAAGTGCTGTGCTATGCTGTGCCATGCCCTTCGCTCTTGGCCCTCTGGGCGCACAGCAGGGCTTGCTCGTTGGACGCGCGGCATCTCACCCAGAATGGTTGCCAACTCTCCTACGGGTTCCGTCGTGACATGCAGGGTGGGCTTGCAACAGATGTGGTGCCAGTGCTTCGGTTGGAATAGCTGTGCTGAAGGGAAAGCTCCAGAAATCTGAAGCTGAGCTGCAGTTGGAGTGTAAGTTTTTGACGACCTCGTCGAGTTTCATGCTCTTGCATAAGACATGCTGGAGCAGCGTCGAATCGTTGTCTTCCGTTGACACACCCCGCCAGCCTTATCAGCAGCCTGTCCTAGGAAAACAATGCGTTGCAAACGCCATACGTTACAACAGACTATATAATATGTACTCGACAAAACAGCGACGACAGCAAAGCAGATTGCCAGGGATTGATGCTTCGATATGAAGTGACCGGCAAAGGACGTAAGCATCATAAGCACTACACCAACTGCTGCGAAAGACATCCCTTACAACAAGCAGTTATTGAGATCTGACCTTTCTGCGTCGTCACAGCACAGGGGGGGCATGCTGTGAGTCTTGTGCCACTCGGCACCAGCTCAGCTTTGGAGCCCTTGAGCTCAACAGCAGAGTATCAGGATCTGGACCTTATCTCTGCGGGGCAGCATCTGGAGGGACAACTCTCATGCACTGACATCGATCCGTCGACACGAGTGTCTATGGACTCGCCGTGGGTCGTCAGCCGGCTCAATTCAGTGCACAATCTTGTCCCGAAACACCTGGATGCACGTGTACGAGACGGGTTGCGAAATTGCCGCCTCCTAACGTGCATCCATGTGCATCCTGTCCATTAGCAATGAGGCCGGCCAGAGCAACCCGCATGTTTCCCTGGCCTCCCTCTCCTGCTACCTTCTACCCTCACTTCCTCATTTAAGGAAGTGAAGACCAACACCGAAAATGTGGCAGCAAGTGCACATTTACACACTTCCAACACTGAAGCAAGGATAATCAATCACTCTTCGCAGGTGGTTGCCATCTCCACGAATCCCCCCGACTGGTAGCTGGTGCAATTGCATTAGCGGCCTGTGTACTCAGCTTGCTTGGCAATGCTGGAAAAGAGTAACGGCTGCACAACTTCACGTCCAAGGCTCCAAAGACCCAATTCTCAACTTTCACCGGTCTCCTGCCTCGAATCAGAACAATAATAGTCACCCTAGGGCTCCAAGTATACAAATACTACCTACTTTGGGGTCTAAAGTCTGCAAATAGTACCTACTTTGGGCTATTTGGAGCCCCAGGGTCATAATAGTTCTCTCAACGGGGCGCGGGCGGCACGGGCGGCCTCGTCTGGCACTTCGACGAAGACGCGGACCTCCAAGGCCTCGCCTGCCAAGGTTGAAAGGCTGGAAATGGCTGGAGTTCCAACATGCCCCAGGCCGCTCTTTAGGACTTTAGGACCTTTCAAAACCTTTACAGGGAGCGTTTTCGCGCGAGCCTGCTGCTGGGCTCGGTGGTGCAGGCGGCGGTGATGGAGGGCTTTCTTCGGCCTCGTGGCGCTGACAAGCGCAACAGCCACCCCATGAACTTGAGCCCTAAAGAGTCCCTGTCCTGGTCGTGGTGGCGCCGGCGCCGGCGCCTGACCGAACGATTCAGGAGCATGCCTGTATCTGAAGACGATGCAGAAGATAGCTCTTGCCACGAAGCCTCTTCTTCACTGCTGTGGCCTCGGTTGGGCGATGCTCAGAGAAGGAAGAGTCGACCGCGACGCACAACTACAAGAAAAATGTGGAGCTCAAGCAACTAAGCCTCGCACCGGTCTTGTAGTATTCAGCAGCGCCTGCAAAATCGTACTCGCAAACAGCACAGCTTTCCGACTGTGGACGTTCCTTCGAGCTGACAACACTTCCAGATTTCTTCAAGAAGGCTGCGACTACTGCGGCTGCGGCGGCGGAACGATGAGAGCCGAAACACCGCAAGGCCTTCTCCTCGGGGCCTGGCAAGACTTGACCACACGAAGACTTCGGCATATTATGATGGCATGTGTAGTTGCGGAGTAGAACCGGCCTCACACCCCACCGCGACTTCCAAGCTACCGAACTATGCAAATCAGCCACAGCTTCAAGAACCAACAAAACTATGCAAAGCAAGTGCGCCGAAACATGTCCTCCGCGAGGCCTTGCAGAATCTCTTGGACAATCTGCTTCACGCCTACAGAGCAATGCCATGCTCGTGCTGAGAACGTCCCAAAATCGCATCTGATTCGGTTGGGCTGCAGTCTAGCGACGGAGTTGCCACGTTCAAACGATTGGCTAGATTTGCGGCGAAGGACAGTAAAATGTCGAAACAAACCGTTTTGACACATTTCATGTAACACAAGCCTAAGCAAGCACCCGGTGACGCCGGCGGTACGCACCGGTGCAAGTACCATCATCTGTCGTGCATTTGCTTGCAAGCTGGATGCTTGCTTGCTTGTTTGCCCTGGCGGTGCTCCCGGATACATGATATCAACTGGCCTAAGAAAAGGCACACACGCAAACGGTGCCACCAATTCTGCCCAGCACTTGGCCCCCCGCCCTGCTCTGATGCCTGGGCCCCCTCGACGAAGAGACTCGGCAACCATGGTTTGGGGAGCTCGTTCGTGCGACGGCTAGTTTAGGGTCTCAGGCACTGGTGAAGGTGCAAGCTTTACTGATGCTCCGGTCCGTGTCATGGAACTGCAACTCTGACGGCCAAACCCGGGCGCCACTCCTGGCAGACCATAAGTGACTGAGGCTGGAGCTGGCCTGCAGCGTTGAGTGTGATCCTTGGCATTGCGGCGTATCTCTCAGTATGTGCTTCTGCTCGAGCAAGCCGAAGAATAGCAGCAACGACCATACTTCAGAGGACTAAGAGGTCCTGAGAAGGTACTTGGAGCTGTCCCTGCCTTCGCGCCGCCGTGCGCACGGTCAGCTCCTCGAGGTGGCTCTCAAGGGCCTCCGGCTCTCAAGCTTAGGACCTGAAAGGCCTAGTCCTGTAGGTGATTACATGTGTGCTGCCTAGGGCCTACTCCTTTTGCTTCTCTTGCCTTCTTGTTAGTCCGGCCACTGTTATGACCATTGCTCTCGTTGGGGCTATTATCGTTGCCATGACTGTGGT